GATCCCAACATCCCTCACCATGATCAGGTAGATGGAACTGAGAATAAAGAACTCAAGTTTGACCCTAAACTTTATTATATTTTCCTGACACCAACATGGCAGCATACGATTGGGTATAGCTCCGCCCCTCACCCAACTAGTTATACTATAAATTAAAGCACGCCTCCCAAGGCCACCATTCTCTTAACAAGCAATTGTGTAAATTAGATAAATATCTCAACTTTTGCCCTCCCTTGTTTTTGCTTGCTATGTCCCATTCCTATGCTGCCATGCTGGTGTTAGGAAAATTGCATACTTACCTTTCGGTAATTTTCCTTTCCTGACGCCAATACAATGGCAGCATACGGGACCCTCCCATGGCTTTCGCATTGAGAGCTAGTTAAGAGAATGGTGGCCTTGGGAGGCGTGCTTTAATTTATAGTATAACTGGTCCTGTGATTGGGTGAGGGGCGGAGCTAAACCCATTCGTATGCTGCCATGTATTGGTGTCAGGAAAGGAAAATTACCGAAAGGTAAGTATACAATTTTCCGTTGTATTCTTCTATGTTGTCCTAGCTTAATAGCACTGACAGTTATTTTGTAATATTAGGGGAAAGAAACAATTGGTATAAAAATGGAGGTAAAAGAGGACGAAAAGACGCATGTGAGGGGCGACCCACTGTCTATAAAAGAAGATGAAACGATGATTGATATGAAAATTGAGGTTAAAAAGGAAGATGAGACCCATGTGAGGCGTGATCAACTGTCTATAAAGGAAGCTGAAATGATAGTGACGGTTGCCAAGGAGAAACCTTCTCTAGATATCAGCACAGGTAAGTATTATTTACACAAAATCAGAACTTCACATCTTTTTAAGTAGAGCAGCAAAGTAGGGATGACAATTTTATGTTTAAACTAAGTTGACCTGGAAAAGTATTTATTTATTTATTTTTTATTGTGGACAGTTCTTTAATCAATAGAATATTCTCAATCTCAAAAAAAGGAAACAAATCTCTATTGTTGTCCAGAAGAACATCATCAATGTAACTACACCACCAGCTAATTTGCCTATAACACAAGGTGGAGTTACTATACTCTATATAGTAGATCAATCTCCAGTCCTTAGCACATGAATCTTTGTAGTTACCAAAATACTGAACCAACAAATGGAGAGAAGATAATGTACATGAATGGTCCTCCTCCATTTCTCAGTATATTGTCATGTTCCTAACAAATCAGGTGATGGAAGGTCCATCTCTATTCCTCATCATAGCATTGCTGTCATTGTAAATACACCGGGGGCCATGGAGGGGATTGGAACACCTGAATCCAATGATTTGGAGGGGTGTCCCAATACTTTTGACAATATAGTGTACATCTTGACCCAGTGTATTAGTGTTGTTTTTCATGAGTTGTACACCTTATCTGACTTCTACCCTTGTGCTGGTGTTGTTGCTGTACCTAATTTTGTGCCAGAGATCTGGGGAACAGTTGTCTTATAGATCAACATACATGACTCCTAATTGCAGAACATGACCATTCTATTATTATTAAAAAAAATTCCAACAGGTGAAGGCGATGCCTTGAATACCTCAGATGAACGTCTTATGGTGTCTCCAGGTTGTAATAAAGAAGATGACGGCATGACACAATATTCTCCAGGCGTAAGCCCTTTCACCGAGTATATACATCACAGACTCGATTATGTGGACAGAACAACAGATCCCTTAAATTCTGATGAACCCAATGATAAATCACCATCTATTATGCCAAATGTCCAGCCAAGCTGTGACGGTGCAGATTGGTCACCAGATTCTTTTGATCCCGAGGAGTCTTCTTCTCATAATTTGGATCCAGTCACAAAGAAAGACAATGAGATATGTTCACCGGAGTCTGTCCACAACGCAAGGAATCAAAGAGTTGAATTTCCGTGTTCAGAATGTGGGAAAAGTTTTAAGGCAAAAAGGGCCCTCCACATACACCAGATGAGCCACACCGGCAAGAAGATCTATTCTTGCCCGGACTGTGAAAAATTGTACATCACGTACTGCGGGCTGGTGGCACACAAGAAGCTGCACGCCGGTGAAAAGCCCTACACGTGTTTCAAGTGCGTAGCGTCCTTTGGCCTCAGATCGCAACTCACTGCTCACCAGAAGGTCCACTACGTCCAGAAGCCGTTTTCCTGTTCCGAGTGCGAGAAGTCCTTCATGACCAAACAGGAACTCGTCCATCACCAGAGGACGCACACCGGGGAAAAGCCCTTCCCGTGTTCTGAGTGTGGAAGGTCTTTCGCGCGGACATCCCAACTCAAAAGACACTACAGAGTCCACACGGGCGAGAAGCCCTTTTCCTGTACCGAGTGCCACAAATGCTTCTCCACCAAAATGATCCGCGACAATCATATGAGAGTTCACACCGGCGAGAGGCCGTATTCCTGTCCGGAATGTAGCAGGTGTTTCACGCAGAAAGGGGCGCTATCTATCCACCAGAAGAAGCACCAGCAACAGAGACTGCAGAAAACCTATGGTGGGGATTCATAGGCTCAACCACCATAGGACTAATCAGTCGTGAGGCAGTTTTTAAGGGTCCGCCCACCCAGGTGGGAGATTCAACTTTTAGATGATTTGGGGTGATCTTTGCTTCACCGCTTATGCTGCCCATCCACATTTTAATGTAGTGATGTGGTGTACTAGTCTCTCCTCCTCTGGGAACCGGTGATGAAGGATGGAATGCCCACACACAACCACTGCAGGGGCCTTGTTGTCTCTCATATACAGAAATCCTTATGGATTGCTCCCTGCTGTGACTTCAAGGGAGGAATTGAGGGGAAACAGTCCACCAAGGACAGAAGCAATGTTGGGTTTGAAGCTGCCCTTCCATCTTATGTTCCATGTGTTATATGACAACAATAAAATAAAGTTCTCATGCTAAACCATAGCATGGACTCTCGTTCCTATGTACAATGCCACATTTACTTAATCATTCACACTAGAGGGAGGTGGGGGGGGGGGGGGGGTGTGGGAACTGGGCCTTG